ACAAGTGGGGTACTGAAATCCCCTACAATTATAATATTGCAGTCTATCTCTCTCTTCAGATCTCTTAATATCTGTTGCATATATATTTAAGTGCTTCAATGTTGGGTACACATATACTTAAAACTGGTATATCCTGTGCATGAACTGACTCTTATTATATAATATTCTTTTTCAGACTTATAGTTTGATATAAATATACTCACACTTTCTTTCTTTTGTTTTCATTTACACAGAGCATGTTTTTGGATCCCTTCATTTCTAGAGTGTGTGCCTTCTTAAACCTGAAGAGAATCTCCTGTAAACAGGATATTTTTGGGTCTTTTTTTTTTTTTTTTTATTCATATGTGCATACAATGCTTGGGTCATTTCTCCCCCCTGCCCCCACCCCCTCCCTTACCACCCACTCTGCCTCCTCCCTCTCCCCCCCCACCCCCCTGTGGGTCCTGTGTTTTAATGAGTGCAGTTACTATCTGTTTTTTTTTTTTTTTTTCCTTTTGTGGTAGTACTGGGGATTGAACCTAAAGCCTCACAGATGGTAGGCAAGCACTTCTACTACTTGAGCCATGCCCCCAGCCCTTTCATTATTATTTTGTTTTTAATATAGTGTCTAACTTGGCTTGGTCTGCCCTTGAACTCCTCTTGCCTCCAAGAGGATGAGGATGTGCCACCATGCCTGGCTTCTCTGTGCCTTTTTCCTGAAAACAGCCATCCATTTACATTCGAAGTAATCACTCATAAAGACTTCCTAGTGCTACTCTGTTCAGTGTTTTCTGGTTCTTTTTTGGATACTTTGCTCCTTTCTTCCCAGTTATCTTGTTTCATGGTTTGGTAGTTTTTCACTATAAAAGATGCCTTGCCTTGCATCTTTTATCTTTTTTATATCTACTAAAGGTTTTTACTTTGTAAATGTTTACATAAATCATATAGTTATAACTATTTTATCCTGTTAAATTTGCATACACAAACTTTAAACTTTTATCCCCTCCCATATTTAATGATTTGATGTTTCATTGATTTGTGTCCCTTCACAGATTATTAGTTATTTATAAAAGCTTACTTTTTAACCTTCATGACATAGATATAATTTATTTACATGCTGCTATTATAATATTAGGGTTTGGATTTGACAATTTACTTTCATTTGCTAGTGACATATACTTTCACAAGTTTTCATGTTATGAATTAGCTTTCTTTGCATTCAGCTTGATGAAGTGCCTTTAATTTTGTGTGTGTGTGGGGGGGAACTAGGATTTGAACTCAGGGTCTCATGCTTCCTAGGCAGGTGATCTATCACTTGAGCCATATCTGCAGCCCTTTTTGTACAGGTTCTTTTTTTGTTTTGAGATAGGTCTGGTGCAAGGCAACATAAAGTGGACCATGAGCCTGCTATTTATGCTTCCCCTTCCCGATGAAGCAGGAACAATAGGCAGGCACCACTGCACTCAGTTTTTATTGGTTGAGATGGGAATCTCACGAATTTTTTTACCCTGGTTGGCCTGGAACCACATCTCCCTGATCTCTACCTCCCAAGTAATTAGGATTACAAGATTGAGCCACCCACCATGCTCGGCTTTACCATTTTCTTGTGAGCCACATGTAGTGGTGCTATACTCCCTCAGCTTTTGGTTGAGAAAGTCTTTATCTCTCTTCATTTTTGACAGCCATGATCATTAAACATAGTACTTGGGTAGGGAGAATCAGCCAAGAAGCCACTTTTTTTCTTGCTACTTTCAAACCTCTTTACTTTTGGCAATTTTGATTATAATATGTCTCGGCGTGGATCTGTTGGATAGATATTAGTCAGTGTCCTTTCAACTTTTTGGATCTGAACTACCAATTCTTATTCCAGGCTTGAGAAGATTTCTGCCATTACTTCTTTTAAAATGTTTTCTATCCTTTCTCTCGACTCCTTCAGGCACACCAATAATGCACAGATCATTCCACTTGATGGTGTCAAATAAGTTCCTTAATCTATCTTCACTTTTTGTCATTTTTTTTTGTCCTTCTAATTGGATGATTTCCAGTGCCGTGTTTCAAGCACTGCTATTGAATCCCTGTACTGAATTTTTCAGCTCACTTATCACTTTCTTTGGCTCTCTCTTTATTGTACTATTTATACCTCCAATATCTTTGTAGAAAGTTTGCTCATGTACTGCTCTCCTTACAGTTTGAAAATCTTTATGACCATTCTTTTAATCCCCTGCTGTGTAAAATAGCATATCTCCATTTCATTAGAGCAGTTTCTGGACATTTATCTCATGGGGTTTTTTTGGAAGATACTTCATGTTTCATTATTTTCCTTCACTATATTAGTTTCTGTACATCCTCTTCTTATCCTATTAGACCAACTTCTTGTAGAAGAACCACCTCACTAATCAGTGTGGCCACAGACTTCATGGCATCTCTCAATCTTTTATGTTTTTTCCAAGCTCCCTCTGTTTTTAGTGGCTCCCCAGGAGATGAGGACAGGCCAAGTTCTGTTAGTGCTTCCCCTGGGTGGGAGCAGAAGAAGTTGTGACATTTGATGTATGGACAAACTTCTGTGGAGAATCCACAGATCCGGCTTCATCACAAGAGCAAATGGGGGGGAAGATGCAGAGCATGCAGACGCTGATTCAGTCTTGGGAAGTCTATTGTTTGTCTATGCTCCATGATGCAGGCAAGATAGGAGCCCAATCCTCAAGTAGCAGCTGAAAAAGTGTGCAAACTCCTTCCAGGGAGAAACTGGGAGGAGTGTGTTTTATCCACTTTTCTGAACTCATCTTGGGGATGTGTAGCATGTAAAGATACTGTGTGTCACTTTAAAACCACCTCTTTGTGTCATCATGTATTAGTACATAGTTTTAGGATTTTATATGTAGTATCTATTCTTGGTAGATTATTTTGTGATTCATTCATGTTGCTGCATGTATCAATAGTTAGTTTTTATTTGGTAAATTAAATATTCCACTTATAGAAATAAAACAGCTCATTTTTCCATTCTCCTGTCAGTGAACATTTGGGATGCTTCCAGTGTTTACTACAAATAAAGCTGCTGTGAACACTTCAAAAAAAAAAATGAAGAAGGCAAAGCAATACAAAACAAAAAATGCCAGAGCTATATTAGCTGAGGGCCAGGGAGATTGGTTATATTTGCTAAATGTCTATGTTTAACTTATCAGGACTATGATAAAAATAAAGCATTCTAAATCCTACTTATAGCAACAGAATAAAGTACTGGAGATGCCCTTAATGCAAGCAGCTGAATCTTAAACTGGAAGCTGTACCAGCTTCACATGGCAAGGTACAAAGAGGGTAAAGATTTCAGAGAAAAGCAAAGTTAAAAAGAATGTCAGATTATTAAGCCAAACTATAGACAATGCCTATGAATATATACAAATAGATCACAAGTTCACTCTTAACCTTCTGGCACCAAACATGAAGCAAAATACTTATTATTCATTGACGTCTAGTCATACAAAACATAGATCTTCAATTATAACATGAGAGGTTTAAGACAAGTTAGAAAATTCATTCTAAAAAAATCTCAAAACAAGTAACAGATCCATAATTTGACTGCAGATCAATTTGACACCATAGCCTATCTTCCTATGGGCTATCATATTGCCTCTCGAATATTAGATATACATTAGAATCAAAGAGACACACTAAAACAAAACAGCTACATTTAATAAAAGAAAGAGATGGGATTCCTATGAATGATTAGAACTGCTTATTTCAAGTGTATGCAACATATTCATATTGAATATAACAAGAACTTTAATGAGAAGTTATCTATTTGAAGAGAATGAAAAGAAGAGTCCAAATAGTAGGCTCACAGGTGGCACACAAATACTAAAAAAGAAGGAAAAGGAAGACAAAGGAATACGTAATGATGTGTGATAACAAATGTGATCCCTTTCACAATTTGTTTTCTTTACCTAAAACCTTCTCATAATAAAGTAACTAATAAACCATGAAAACTTTTTGTGCTTTAAAACAATATTCGCCACGACCAGAAATCACATCAGGGACACATTATATTTTCTGTGTGGAAGAAAAGGTGACTCTAGTAAAAAGAACAGCAATAGACTCGTTTCTTATTTCTTGAACTAGAGATCTATTTATGAGACCTAAAATTTTATACTTCATTAGCAAGGATCCAAGTAACAAGAGTCCTTATTTGGGAGGGTACAAGAGAAAGAATCATTAGGACTTTTTTCTTCTTTTAGAAAATTCAGTAAGTCTGTAAATGCCAGCTCTACATAAGTAATATAGATTGTGATAGGCAAACTACAGCCTGTATGCCAAATACCTCCCACTGTTTATAATGGTTTATCTGGGTAAAAAAAGAAAAATCCAAAGAATAATATTTCTAGATATGTGAAAAAGAATATGAATCCCAAATGTCATTTCATGAAGTTTTATAGGAGTACAGATACACTTGTTCCGTAACGCGTTCTCTATAACCACATTTGTCCTACAACAGCAGACCTAAATAGTTACAACAGAAACCACAGAACCACAAAGACTATTTAGGTCTTTACAGAAAAACCTGGCCAACTCCTGTACTAATTAGAAAAGTTCTTAAAATTCAGATTTTAATGCTAACTTGGCTCAAGGAAAAATGAAAAGATCTCTCTAAAGGGATAATTTCTAAACAAAAATTTACATTTATATCCAGGAGGAGTTGCTGGAGGGGCTCAAGCAGTTTAACAGCACCTGCCTAGCAAACACGAGGCCTTGAGTTCAAACCTCAGTGAAACAAACAAGCAAAAAAATTTATATCCAGGACCTTTTAAAACAACTAAAACTTGGTATTGTCATAAATATTAATCTGAACAATTAAGCTTGTATATTTCATACTGACCATCATTGTTTATAAAAAAGATTCAAATAAGTACACAATAGTACTTAAGTAATAAGATATTTCTTGTCTTTGATTTATAAAGGTTGGTTGCTTGAGTTAATACAAAGTATTTACATAACAGAGAATTAGTAGGAAAAGAAATAGCACTTACCTTCGGAAGGACAGGCTTGGATTTGAAGTTTTTGTTTCTTCTATAAAGAAAAAGATCACCCATTAGAAAACACTACTGAAGAGATGAATCCTTTCAAGATTAGAAACAGATTAGACACATATTTCTAGGAATGTAGGTTCCCTACATGAAAAACTTATCTGACTTAATCAAGAGGATACCTTTGGGAAGGAAGTGTAAGCAGGGAAAAGAAAAGGTCAGAGGTTATCTGTAGTCAGTATTAACATGTCATGCATTCTAAGCTGGCTTCGTTTTCTTGCACTGAAATAGGACGGTTTTTCTACACCTACAAAAACTTTATTTCTACCACTTCAAGACTATAAATGGGATGCCTACATATCATGAACCTTTAAAAGTTTACTTTTCAACAAAATATAATCATTCACCTTTTGGAAATTAAAAATCCTATTTTTTTTACATTCAGTTCATTTTATATTCAATTTTTTTATGAGTTCAGAAATAAAGGGAATAAAATCCAATGCTTATGAATATGTACTGAGAAGTTAGAAAGAACTAGCTTAGAATCTGAGGTCTGCCTTAGATGAAGGCACATTTCTGGAGTCGAGCAAGACCTACGTAAATTAAGCTTATTAAGACTATTAACAATGACTTACACTTAACACTATCAAGCAATGATTTAGGAAATCTACACTGTAGGTAGTGGTAAAAAAAATGCTTGGAAAGTACAAACTTAATTAATGTTAGCAACCTAATAACTTTCTACTGGACCATAATTTACGGTTATGTCTATGTCCTCAAGCCAGTTCCATGATGAGGCAATGAGAATGGTGGACTTTGAATAAATGTTATATGCTACCATGTATTGTCCCCCATTCACAATTTATAAGAGATTTTCCTGCCCAATTGTTAAGACAGCCAGAATTAAAGGATAATAATTCTAGTAACAACTGGAAATCCTAAAATGAGATAGGTTTTTCATTCTCTAAAAGAAAAGAACAATAAAGAATCATCTTGCGGGGGGGGGGGGGGGGGGGAAGAAAGGGGGAAACTTGCTCAAAATACACTTCACGCATCCATGGAATTATCACATGAAACCCCCTCTTACTATATACGTATGCTAATTAAAAAGTAAAATAATCATTCCAAAATTAATATTCAACCTTGATTTTCCTGGTGATTTGCAAAACTGAAAGCAAAACACCATGCAGTGCATTAGATTCCTAACTCTGAATGCTGATTAAATGCTTTGGGGTCTTGATTCAATCAAAGTTACACCCATGAAAATAACACTTTATTTCTCTTCATCTTCTGCGGTGAGAAACTGTAAGCCACTCATAAAAGAGGAATCCATGTTACTGATCAGTACTGACGTGAGAATCCCATGCGCTCTTTCCAGTAGTTTGCTGCTTGCTGAATTAGCAAATATCCCATCTTTATCAAGCAAGGAGGTGCCACTTGGTAGTCTGCTCTGGCGAATCCCAGGTCTGACATTCCAGGTGATATCAAATGAATCACTGTAAAAAAATTTTAAAGTAGCATAATTTGCCTTAGTTAAGATTAAGATATCTGTACCACTTTTTATATTATTTAAATTAAAATAAAACATGAAATATAAGGATCTAGAAAAAAATGCTAGGCAGCAGAAAATGATTTTATCAGAATGATTACAATCAACTGACCTTTTCTCATTCTCAACAAACTATTTCTGTGAATTATGAAACATTCATATACAAATGTGCAGGTAGATGAGCACATATGTGATGGAGCTAACATCATTAAATACACTGTTACCATTCAATAACCAGTAAATAAAAGAATGTAATACAATACAGTGGCTTTCTCTTTCTCAGAACTTCCAAATGTTACTATAGTAACTTGCAATCCTACTAGGCCAAACCACTGCATGTCCCTATCTAAATGGGACATCTTACTCACACACACACACTCGCTAGTGGCACAGCCACCAAAAATACTAAGCTTTCAGTATGGGCAGACCACTATTACAGGTACTGGTGATACAAGAATGAACAAAACGCATAAAATTGTAAGAAGGGAGTATTTTCCAGCTAGGGAACAAATTAGACACATACTTGGATCTTTCCAAAAGTCCACAGAAACACATATAACACAATTTTAAGGAACTAACACTTAAGAACAAAGAGAATATACTGACAAATGACAGCAACACATCTTTGCAGTATGGAAGACATACGGCTCTCTCAGGCTTTGACTGCTCTCTTTACCTATGCAAGGGATGCATGCGAGTCCATGACCTATCCAACACTATGCACAAATGAGGACAGAAATACAGAAGTCAGGGGTAATCCTGGAAATAAAAATATCCTCAATATTCCTATCCAACTACCTCTATAATGCTAGCAGACAGGATTATATTTTCCACAGAGAAAGGTTAAATTTTTATGGAGAATCTGACATTCATTCATTGGTTTTAAAGTAATCATTTAACGCCAACTACATGTCAATTGCTTCTCTATCACTGTGCATACAACAGAACAAAAATTAAAGTTCTTATCATTAAGTGGCCTACAGTCAGGTAGGATTCAAGGAGGACAAAGGAAAGTATGCTGTGTGCCAAATAACAGATATTAAGGAAAGAAATTAAACAGTAAGAAAGGATAAAATATGATAGGCTTTCAAAATAGGTCAGGGAAGACCTCATTGATAGGGTTCCATTTAAATACAGATGGTGGTGCATGTCTATAATCCCAACCCTTTGGGAAGATAAGGCAGGAAGAACACGAGTTCAAGGGCAGTCTAGGCTATACAGGGAATTCAAGGCTATATGGTGAGATCCTGTCTCAAAATAAATAAATAAATAAATAAATAAAATAATAATAATAATAATGAAACAGTAATACTGTCATCTGAGAAACAGAGGACAGTAAGGCGACCGAAGACAGTGATTAGCCAGAAGAGCACTTCAATTGAAGAAGGGAGAAAACACCAGTCCCTGAGATGGGCATGCTGTTGGTGAGTGTGACAGGCACTAAACAAGCCAACAAGTCTGGCATGGACATAAGCAGGCAGGAAACCAAGGCAAAGTGGGAGAAAGAGGCCATGCTGCAGTATGCCTTGTAGGTAGGTAGCATAAGGATTTTTGGCTTCTGTTGGTATGAAAAAGAAATAATCACCAGGATTCTGAGCAAAACCTTGACATGATTCATCTTCTATACGAAAACAATCATTCTGGCTGCTATATTAAATATGGTTCAGGAGACCAAGGACAAAACCAGAGGTTATGGTAAGGCACTGCTATAATAAATTACGTAAGTGATCACGATGTCCTGAGCTGTGGTAATCATGGAAAAATGTGACTGGCGTGAACTCTTTCAGAAATCATCTCAGGGTAGAGTTTATATGACTTATCGACAGAAAAAAATATGCAGTGCATGAGGCGGGAACTAAAGATGACTTCAGGATACATATTTTTTAACCTGTAAGAGGAGATTTAAGAGTGAAGAAGTAGAAGACAAAGCAAAGCAAAACAGAACAAAACCAAGAGATGGAAAATCATAAATAAAATAAGAGGCTCACAGTAGGCCAAATGTCCAGGCACAGGACTTCTAGTAAAGACCCTATAAAATTCAGGTGCATGGAGGGTAAGTTTGAACTCAGGGTTTCGTGCGTGAAAAACAGGTGCTCTACTGCTTAAGCCACATCTCTAGTCCATTTTGCTCTGGTTATTTTGGAGATGGGGGTCTCATGAACTATTTGCCTGGGGTTAACCTCAAACTGAGATCCTCTGGATTTCAAGACCCCCAAATAGCTAAGATTACAGGCGTGAGCAATAGGTGCCCAGCTACCCATCATTTCAAGCAGCATTTGGTAGGCTTCAATATGCTGCCTTCGTATGTATAGCATGCTATATGCATGGATGTAGTGTGTGTCAGTGCTCCACCTTCAGCAACCTTCCCTTTCCCCATCCCCTTCCATTGACCACACCCAGACCATCCCCTTCCCATCCCCCTTCCATTGACCACACCCAGACCATCCCCTTTCTCGTTCATGTCCAATTGCCATCATCACCACCACTACCATCATTTTAGGTTTAGGATCTACAAATGAGAACATGTGACATTTGGCGTTTTGAAGTTGGCTGACTTCACTCAACATGATGATTCCCAGTTCCATCCACTGTCTTGCAAATGACATAATTTCACTTTTCTTTATGGTTAAGTAATATTCTATCTCACACACACACACACACACACACACACACACACACACACATTTTCATCCATTCATCTAGTCTAGGGCACCTTGGCTGATTTCAGTTCAGCTATTATGAACAAAACAATGGGTATCAGGTATCGATTTACACTCCTTCAGATATATGCCCAAAAGTGGTACCAAAGGGTTGGAAGGTAGGTCTATTTTAGATTTTTGAGGAACTTCCACACTGATTTCTTTAGTGGTTACACCAATTCATATTCCCAACAAAACTGTATGAGGGTCCCCTTTTCTCCCTGTATCCTCACCAGCATTTGTTGTTTGTTTTCTTGATGAAATGTCAATCTGATTGTGGTGAGATGGAATCTTACATAAGTGTTGATTTGCATTTCCTTTTTGGCTAATGATGGTGAAGCTTTCTTCATGTAGTTACTGGCCATTTACATTTTTTCTTTTGAGAACTGTATGTTCAATTCACTTGCCCATGAATTAATTGGATTATTAGTTTATTTGCTGTTTAGGTTTTTTTTTTAAGCTCTTTGTATACTCTGGATATTAATTCTTTTATTTGTTGAACAGCTGGTAAAGATTTTCTGTGGGTTGTCTCTTGATTTTGGTAACTGTTTCTTTTGATGTCAGAAATTTTTAAAATTTGATTCGATCCCATTTGCCAATTCTTGCTCTTATTTCTTGAGCTAAATTAGAGTCCTACTCAGAAAATAACATACGCCTGTATCTTCCAGGGCTTTCCTTCTGTAGTAGTTTCAAACTTTACATTAAGGTCTTTACCCATTTGAAGGTGATTTTGGTACAGAGTGAGAAATAGGGATCTAGTTTCACTCTTCTGCATGTAGGTCACAAGTATGCAGCACCATTTGTTGAAGAGGCTGTCTTTTCCCCACTGTTTTTGACTCCTTCATCAAGATCAGATGGCTGTAGTTGTGTGGTTTTATTGCTGGGTCTTCTATTCTGGTCCAATGGTCTGTGTGTCTGCTTTTTTGTGCCAGTACTGTGCTATTTTTTTGACTATGGCTCTGTAGCATGATTTGAAATCCCATATTGTGATAGCTCTGGCATTGCTCTTTTTGCTCAGGATTGCTTTTGCTATTTGGGGTCTTTGTTTTCATATTGCTCCACTTAGGAATTCCAGTACTATATGGAATGAGAATGGGGAGAATGGACAGCCCTGTCTTGTTCCTAACTTTGCAGGAAATTATGTCAGTTTCTTCCTATTCACCATGATGTTAGTGATATATCACCTTCATGATGTAGAGCTACATTTTTTCTACTCTTAGGTCACTGAATTTTTGTCAAAGGCTTTCTCAGCATCAATTGAGATAATCAGGCAATTTTTTCCTTGATTTTATTTATATTCTGTGTTACATTTATTGATTTACATATGTTGAACCATGTTTGCATCCTTGCAATGAAACCAACTTGATAGTGGTGGATGATCTTTTTGATGTGTTGTTGAATTTGGTTTGAAGTATTTTATTGAAAATCTTGTATCTATGTTCATTAAACAGATTGTTCTATAATTCTCTTCTCTTATTGTGTCCTGTCCTGTTTTGGGGTGAGTTAAGTCATTTGTTTCAGTTTATAATCACCAAAAATCAAATTTTTTCTCAATTTTTAGCTAGTGTAAATTGAACAAAAGTGTTGCACTGTGATATTCCTATATATATATAAAATGTACTTTGATCAAATTCATCTCCTGTTACTTTTTATTAACTCCTTCCCCCCTCCCCATTCTTGTAAAAAGGTTTTAGTGGGTTTTATTATGTTATTTTCATACATACACATAATACACTTTTATCTATACACCTCCAATTACCCTCTTCTTTACTCCTCCCACCCCCAAAAGAAACTTTTATAATCATTTTTATTTAGGATGTCTCCACATATGAGCAGAAATTGTATTTCTGAGTTTGGCTTATCTTACTCAATGTGATGATCTCCAGTTCCATCCATTTTCTACAAACGACATACTCTCAACTCTTCTTCGTGGCTGAGTAATACTTCATTGGGTATTTTTACCATATTTCTTTATCTACTATTTGGTTAATGAGCATGTAGGCTGATTCTGTAACTTGATTTTTGTCAAGTGCTGCAATAAACAGTGTGCAACAATCTTTGTTGTATGCTGATATACATTCCTTTGTATATATATAACCAGGAGTGGTACAGCAGGATCACATGGTAGGTCTATTTTAGTTCTATTTATGAGGGACCTCCAAACTGATTTCTAGAGTGGTGGCACTAATTTATATTCCTGCCGACAGAATTTAAGATTCCTCCCCACAACCTTCATTCTCCCAAGCATTCTTTATTGCTTGTTTTCCTGATGATTGCTTTCTGACTAGGGTGAGCTGTAATATGTGTAGTTTTTATTTGAATTTCCTTTACGACTAGGGATGCTGACCATTTCTTCATGTATTTATTAGCTATTTCTATTTTGTTTGAAAATTGTTCAATCTGTCCATAATTGAATTATTTTTCATTAATGTTTAATTTTTGAGACTTAAGTATTCTCAATAATAATAATTTTTCCAATGGATATCTTGCAAAGATTTTTCTCACATTCTGGGGATTGTCACTTCATTCTGTACTTGTTTTCTTTCATGTGCAGAAACTTTTTAGTCCAATGCAATCCCACTTGTCAATTCTTGCTCTTATTTCCTAAGCTATTGGACTGCTATTCACAAAGGTATTGCCTATGCCTGTAACTTCAAGTGTTTTCCCTGTAATAGTTTCAAAGTTTTGTAAATTATTAACACCACTGATTCATTTGAGTTGATTTATCTACACACAGAGAGAGAGACAAGGATCTAGTTTCAGTCTTCTACATGTGGATATCCACTTTTCCCAACACATCTGTTGAAGAGGGTTGTCTTTTTCTACAGTGTATGTTTTTACCGCCTTTGTCAAACATCAGATGGCTGTAGCTGTGTGGTTTTCTTTCTTGGTTTTGTGTTCTGTTCCAACAGTCTTTTTTTCTGTTTTTGAGCCAGAACTAAGCTGTTTTTGTTACTATGGATATGTGGTATAATTTAAAGTCAGGGACTGTAATAGCTCTAGCATTATTCCTTTTGCTTAGAATTACTTTGGCTGACACAAAGAAGAATGAAATTTTGTCATCTGCAAGTAAATAGATGGAACTGGAAAATACCATCTTAAGTGAAGTCAGCCAAATTCAGAAGGCCAAAAGCCACACATATTCTTTCACATGTGGAATACAGACCTAATACAAATACAGCAATATTATGAAAAATAGGACATATTAAATGGAGGTCACATACAAGAGGGGAAAAAGAAGGAAGTTAAGAAGGTGAATATGGCTGATGTACTTTCTATACAAGAATGAATATAAAATTTTTAAGCCAGCTGAAACCACCATAAGAAAGGGACTAAAGTAAAATGAAGGAAAACAGAGATGAACCAATTCACGTTATAATACATACATACACAGAAATGTCACAAAGAAACTCCTTGCGTAGTTATCTTAAACAAGCAAAAATGTCATTTTTTTTCCTTCTAAGAAATCAGAACAGGAAAGCAGAACAGATCCTGTTGGGGGACGAGTTGATACCAAGATGAGGAGGGAGATGGTGGGGAAAGAGTATAGGAGGGTGACTATGGTGCAAATACTGTGTATTCATGGATGTAAATGTAAAAATGAGACCTGTTGATACTATTCCAGGAATAGGGGGAAGGGGGGATAAAAGAGAATGGTGGAGGGGGGTGAATTCAAGTATGATATATTTGATACACTATAAGAACTTTTGTAAATGTCACAATGTACCCCCTTCCCAGCAAAATGAAAAAAAAAAATTGCTTTGGCTGTTTTGTGCTTCTAGTGAATTTTAGGATTGCCTTCTTTTTTTTTGTGAGCTAGTGCCTTACACTAGCTAGACAGGAACTCTTACCACTTGAGCCATGTCCCTTTGTAATGAAGTCTAATGTACTTTTATGTCCAGTATTATGTTTTACGAAATTGGGTGTCTGATGTTTGTTACACAATTGTTATATCCTCTTGATGGACTGTTCCCTTTACCAAAATGAAATTACTTTCTTTGTTCTGGCTAGTTTTCATTTGAAGTCTGTTTTGTCAGATATGAGTATAGCTACTCCTGCTTGATTTGGGGCTCCATTTGCTTAGAATATCTTTTTCTATTCTTTTACTTTAAGCTGTGTTTGTCATTGCCAAGAGGTGCATTTCTTGTGTTCTGTTCCAGTGGTTGGGTCTTGTTTAATTTTTTGTTTGTTTGTTTGTTTTGTGGTACACTAGGATTTAAAGTCAGGGCCTTACATATGCTAGGAAAGTGCTTTGCCACTTGAACCATGCCCCAAACCCCCTTTTCCTTTATTTGTCTTTCAGGTAAGGTCTCCAATTTATGCCAGGCAGTGGCTCAAACTGAGATCCCCTACCTACAGCCTCCCACATAGCTGGGATCACAGGCATATGCCACCACACCTGGCTTACTGAGCTGGAATCTCACTAATGTTTTTGCCCAGGCTGGCAAAAATGCCACTGTGATCTTCCATCTCTGCCTCTTGAGTTGCTAGGATTACAGATGTGAGCCACTGTGTCTGGCCCCGAACTTTGTTTTTTAATCCAGCCCACAAGTCTGTGTCTTTTCATTGGAAGGTGGAGACTACTAATATTCAGACTTATAATTGAAAAGTTATTTAGTAATTCCTGTCTTTTTGTTGTAACATATGATTCTTTTCTAATCTTCACTTGCTCATCACCTTGTATAGTGAAAAATTATGGAATACTTCATAAATATGAGGATCTTCCTTGTACAGGGGACTTATTAATCTTCTCTGCATCGTTCCAATTTTATTATGTGTGCTGCTGAGAAGGGAGCACTACTTTCTCAATTTTACTGAGATGGGGTCCTGCTAAATTTTTGCCCATACTGGCCTCAAACTGTGATCTTCCTAATTTCAACCTCCCAAGGAGCTATTATTATACATATGAGCCACAGCATCCCATTCAGACTACTATTTATTTATTTGGCAGCACTGACGTTTGAACTCAGGGCTCATGCTTGCTAGGCAGGCACTCTACCACCTGAGCCATACTGCTAGCCTCAGACTATTTTTAACAAGCATCAAAAAGACATTTAAAGAAAAAGAAGTTACTCAGAAGACAAGTGACAATATATATTTGAAAGACATGGTAACTCAATTGGAAAAAAAATAAACAATGACAGACCATCCCTATCATTAAGGAGCTCAATTCTCTTGATACTTAAAATGTAGAGTACAATCTAAAACCAAACAATTTTCTTTCTCATATAAATTTAATGTTTACTGAATGGTACTATAAAGGTAACTATAAATTCAGAAGTTTATTTTTGCATTTTCCTTTCGAATTCTACTAAAATGGTTGTCATTGAAAGTGATAAAGGGCAAGCTTTGGTAATCATAAGAAAAGGCATTTGATGGTTTGTGTAAATTAAACTGCTCAATTTCTACTTATCAGTAAGATATCCATGAAAAGAAGTCGAATAATCCTTAAAATGTTGCAAAAGATATAAATTGAAAAAGGTTCTAGAAGTTAAAGCATATCACCTCATTTTAATTTATTCTAGGGAATTTTTAAATTGTAGAACCATTTTACCATACAATGTTTCTTATCTCTAACCTAATAACTTGTAATTGCATCATTATTAGGCCTTTAGCAAGTAAGAAAACTGAGATTGAACTTAACAGTCATGAAGCATTAGTAAGATTGGTAGTCATTCCTTCTACACCTCCTTGAAGTCAAACTTACTGTTGGTTTTTCTCATTTAGTGTATTCATGCCTTGGAGATCAGAAAGAGGTGTTCTGGGATTTTTCCGGGTGATACCTAGCAAAAAGGGGGGAGGGGGCAGAAATTTTCAAATCAATACCAAGAAAAACTAAATATGAAACAATTTTTCTACAGACAAATAAAAATTAATGTAGTTTAATAGTTAAATATTTGCTAAATAAATACCTCAGAAACATCTAAGATTAAAAATATGAGTAAAGTTTCATAACTATCACTTAGAAATATGATTTAGTTAACAGTGAATCCAATTTGGGAATTTGCCTTATTCCTTCTTTCATTTAAACATTAACATTCAGAAATATAAGGACAATTGGGATGAGGAACCAGAAGTATGTAAGTTCATGTCTTATTTTTATACTCACAAAACATTTACTATGACCCCTTTGGCATCATTTTTCAGCAACAAATACATTGTTGACATGGACCATATATTGTAAAGATCAATTGACTTCACAGATAAAGACAATGGGAATAAAAAAAGGAATAACTGTTTTAAGGATTAACAATATGTTTAAAATATAGTCTTATAAGTTCAATAAGCATAAACCTATCAATTTTCATAATAGACACATATATAAACATTTATGCAATATATGGAAGACACAATGGAAAGGAAGACATGAAAGTATCTTTATTCAAGACAACTGAGTATGTAGAAAATCCTAAGGAATTTACAAAAATCAGTATGTACCAGTAAGTTCAGCAAAATTAGAAGAAACAAGATCAATATGCAAAACTCAATTCTATTTCTACACAATAGCAATAAATGATCTGATCTAAATTAAGAAAAAATTCCATTAATAACATCAAAACAATATAAATAAATTTAACAAAACAAGGGGGGAATAAAGGAGAATGATGGGGGTGATATATTGTATAAACTTGTGGAAGTGTCACACTGTGCCCCCACAATAAAGTGAAGTAAAAATTTAACAAGACGGCACATGAGGTCTGCACTGAACAGTACAAAGCACCATCTAAAACTTAAGATTCACATAGATAGCATGCTGTGCATGTTCATGAACTGGAAAACATAATATTGGGATTTTCTTGGTTTTGTTTTATTGTTATTGTTTTCATGCTTTTCACTCAGCTCACGAAGTAACAGCCAAGGAAAAGAAAACCTGACAGTGTCACCTGATCTTTTTACCCATAATGAAAAACTTATTTGTGTTGTTCCAGCCTTCTTTCAGTGAGTTTTGGATTCATATGAATAACATAGGGATCACAGTATAGCAAAGGGAATTAATGTGGTCTCTGCTTGGTGCTTTTATCCAAAAGGCAGACTGGAAAGACATGGGTATGTCCCTGAGAAGCCTGTTTCATTTTTAAACTGATTCAACTTAGTTTCTAAAATTCATTAATGGAATAAGAAATGAACAATGGGCAGGGATAGCTCAGCGGAAGAATGCTTGCTTAGCATGTGCCTAAGGAAGAAAAAAAAGAATGTTTAAATGGCAATTGCTGCCTTGAATCCCTTTCAGAGCATTACATAGCATGACTAATTCCTAATTCTTCATCCTAATTCCTGATTCCTAATTTGACAGAGATTATCTACGACAACTGAAGGGAAAGCTTCAAACTCAAGTCCATTTAGGCAATACGCAGCAACGGAACCAGAAAACCATTTACTATCCAATTACTATGTGTCAGGGACATACTACATGTCACAACAGACCACAGTCCCTTTTAAAAACAGCTGTCTGGATGTTATCATGCAAGCAAAACATTTGTTCTTATGCCCATTTCCTCATTAAGTAAACTGTAGCACACCTGTGGGGTCAAACTATAGGCTCATAGTACCAAGACTTAAGACAAGTCAGTTATGACACCTGCTTTATGAGCAAAGCAGAGAACATAGTGTTCCTTAATCAATCCATTCTATATACCACTGCTGTCAGTTCATTTCCTGATTCCAGTTCTTGATTTCCCCAAATTCAACATTTGATGTACCTAGGTCATTACTGAATTCAGCTTCCTGGGTCCTTTAATTTGCTGTACAGGTACTCTATCCTAAATGTGATTAATTGCAAAAATAATCTCTTCAAGAAACCTTCATAACAAAACACCAGATACCCCACTGAAAAGAAAAGGGGATCAAGTTTAACAGGCCAAGATAGAAGATAAGGAGTCTGACAAAAAACAGATGGGGCACAAGAACTCTGACCTCAAACCTCTATGCTGAAGAAGTCACTGGCAAAACCCCAAGGAATAAGAGTTTAACTATCCAGAATTAAGTGGGAAACAAGAATTGTTTCCTCCCATCTAGTCATCCTCTGAGCTCTCAGACCTCTCATCTATAGCCACTTTCCAATTTGTGCATGGGAAACATAATATTGTTAAGAAGACAATGTTTCCCAAATAGATGCATCGATCAATCTAATCCTTATTAACATTCCCATATTTCTGCAGAAATGATCAAGCTGATCCTTACATTAATATAGTGATGTTAGAGTCCTAGAATAGCCAAAACAACCTTTCAAGTAAGTTAGAGGCTAGAGGAATGGCTCAAATAGCAGAGCACCTGCCTCATTTAAGCATGAGGCCCTGAGTTCAAACCCCAGTACCACAAAAAAAAAAAAGTCACACTCCCAATCACAAAACTTACTACAAAGATATACTAATCTGCACAGTATGATAATGATATGAAGACAAACAAATACATCAATAAAACAGAACTGAAAATCCAGAAATAAATCCTTGCATTTATGATTGACTGAACTTTTGACAAGGATGGCATGACAATCAGTGGAAAAAGAGGCATCTCTTCAACAACTGATGCTGGCAAAAAGAGTAAAGTTGGAAAAAGTCCTAGGTGCAATACTAATTCTAAATGTACTACTACTACTAAAAAAAGAAAAGCCCAAAAAACCTTTACAAGAAAACAGGAATAAATCTTCTAGATACTGAACTAGGGCAACTGTCACTTAGACATGTCCCGACAGTACAAGAAAACAAAAACACAGAAAAATACACCTATTGCATGATTACACCGTCTTCTATTCTCCACATTCCTTCTTTGCTTCTGCAGACTGAAACATATCTCATGCCTTTCCTCAACATCAGCAATTCAGTTTTCAGCTATGTATCCTCCATTACATGCACTTATACAGGTGGTATTTTCTGCCTCTGTTTATTAGCTCAAAAATCTTCCTTCAATATCATTCTTATTTCAAAGTCTAGAATTCATGCTGTTGCTTTATTGAGCTCATGTTCTCAAATTCTTCTACACCATAAGTGCTTACAATGAATTTTCTGTCCAAACACAACAGAGTAGCTATTTTCTGCATCTTCTTTGGCTTCCTGCTACCCTTGTATGCGATGACTTTTATACCACATCTCATTTTGAATATATAGAGAGGTATTAAGGAATAATTTACTCAATATTTGAGATTAACAATAACTTTAAAAAAAAAAGGTCATGCACCCTCTACCTGATCTCATTCCATAAGCATCAGATTCTAAGATCTCCCATGGCCAAAATTAGCAAAACGAAAAAACAAAGGAATTTAAAATACCTATCACAATTGTATTAATTAAAGGAGAAAATAGTCTTAATGAATTAATAGAAAACCTCAAGAGAAAAAAGGAAACTGTGTAAAAGAGCATCTGTGTAAATGTTTTAAAAAAGAAAAACCTAATTTATAATAAAAGCAAGTCTTAATAGTGCTTACCTAAAGAAGCAGGGAAAGACAGCAAGAACAAATTTTCTGAGATAATTTTCCCCAGTATTTTTACTTTTAATGCTTGGTTCATAAATTTATATTTACCTCCTATAAGCACCCTACAGCTGCATTTTGTTCATATCTCTGAGTTTCATATTGTTACTGTTCTGTTTAATCGCGTCAATTTATTGCTATTATTGATATATCTGCAATTTTATACCATCTTATTCACGTTTTATATTTACCCTAATTATTACATGCTTTTCCCAGCCCATTTGTTGAATTATTTTCTTTATTCTCTGATTTCTTTCTTTTATTTTGCAAGTCATATATGCTTTCTGTTCATTTGTCCTTAAATTTTTAGCAGACTCATGTCTCTTCTTGGGAGTCTAAGATCCTTCGAGTGTTGTAATTCTAACATCTCCTTCCCACTACAGATGTCCTGTTCCCTTGTACTTATTTTCACCGTGTTTTCTTCCACTGGGAAGAACTTCACAAGTTCTGAATTTCAATGAAAATCTGTGAAGATTACCATTAAGCTTTATGTTAATGGTATGTCTGGTATATCTTTGCCTATCCTTTTATTTTCATCACTTTAAGAATGTTAAAGACTAAACTACTGAAAAATTCAACTTGAGGGTTTAACTGGTGAGCTTAAGCCATTTTATTATAATAATACTTTTTCTTATTATTATCATTATTATTAGAAGTACTGGATTTGAACTCAGGGCCTCTTGCTTGCTAGGCAGATGCTCTACCACTTGAGCCCTCCCAATAGCCCTTTTTGCTTTAGTTATTTTCCACATAGGATCTCATGTTTATACCCAAGCCAGCCTGGATCACCATCCTATTTAAGTCTCCTGCATGGCTAAGATGACAAATGCATGCCAAAATGCCCAGTCTTTTTTTTTTTTTTTTTCAATTGATTCAGATGATAGTCTAGGTAACTTGTTGCCCAGGCTGGCCTTGAACACTGTCCTCCCCCGGTCTTCACCTCCCACTAACTAGGATTGTGGGCTTGAGTCACTGTGCCCAATCATTTCTATTAATTCTAAATAGTATGTACTTCTGGCACCTTATTTCATGTTTTCCCATTTACTTCACACTTTAAACTTATTTTTTTCACCTTCATAGTTTTCTTGATAATGCTACTTCATGTTACCTTAAAGGCTAAAAATTCTTACTTTTGTTACTACTGTGTTCTTAGAGCACAAAGTTTATGAACTGCATGAATGTCCGTCCATGTTCTATTTATTCAAGAGAAATACAGCTTCCTGTCTTCCCCGCCATCTTCACCAAAATAAATACCAGCATCTCTTGTGTTTGTTTGTATCTACCATTTTCAAACAGAAGTTCTGATCCTGTATCACG